AACATTTACAGAGGGCACACTAATTTCAAATTCTTCTAATGTACATATATAGCAGCACTGCTTAAAAATTTGTCCTACTTTGTAGGGTTGGAGGTCAACTACAAAGACCAAAGCAAGTTACCATTTACTGGTATTTTATTTCTAAAATAAGTAAAAGGTAACAAAAGTTACCAAAAGTAATTGAAATAAAAGAAACAAAACAAAATTCATTTATCTGTTCTGTAATAATTAAATCATTTATCTGTAAGAGTTTCTTCAATGAGTGAGCCCAAATTCAATCACTGGCTCTCAAGCTGGGTTTTAGTATAACTTGGGTTATAGTCCCAAGACTAGTAGCATCATTAGGACCTGGGCACATGTCAAAAGTGCAAATTTAACCCTTCATGCTATTCTGACAAAGACTGAGAACACTTGTACTCTACAGACTGTGGTTCAACATTATGCAATTTGCAGAATACCAAAAAGGAATTACAACCTGAGGGTGCAACCGAATGGATTCCAATATTGTAAAAGTTTTCCAAAGAGCTAAGTGAAAGTTGAAAATAACATTCCAAGAGCATGTCCCCAGCTAGGAGTTAGTAAATCTTGGAGGGTGGGGGGAACATCTGAAAAGCAAACCATATAGCAGTTGAAATTCATGTCCCATTCACATATTCTATAACCCACAAGTCCATTTCTAGACATAAACACAAGTGAAACTCTTGCATATGTATGTCAAGAGGTGTGAACACAAACAGCAGCATCTCACAACATCAAAGTATACAAAAGCATAACTCTTGGAAGCAACCCAAACATCCACCAGTAAAAGAAAGGTTAAACAGCCTATCTGCATAAAGGGATACAATGCAGTAGTCAGAAAATTTCAGTGACACACAATATAAACTTCAGCAATACCACATCAATACCACGGTCAGTCAATGAATTCCAACATTATAAATCTCAGGGCACAGGGCATTTAACACACAGATTGTAATTATATGTGTACAGAAATATTACACATGCAATAAAACTATCTTCAAAAAGACACCAAGTTTGGGGGAAGACACCAAGAGAATAATGAATAGAGGACTCCATTGCCTAAGGTGAGGTAAGTCGGAAAAATGGGCAAAGGAACCCACACGGTTATACAGAAACCACTATTAAGGTCCTAGTTTTAAGTTAGGTGGTGTCAATTTATTATTAAAATAAAACAAATGAATCGATTATGTGACTGAGTCATGAGCCATCAATTGATACTAATCTAATTTTTTGCACCTGAAGTCCTTAAAAAAATTTCTTTTAGAGCCCTCCCTGGTGGTGCAGTAGGTTAAAGCACAGCACTAAGAAGCTAAAGCCACTCCAACATGAGTTCCATCCCCGCACGGGAGGTGACCACATGGCACCACAGACCTCTCCTGAACCGCTTGCTGCTCCCCTCAGCAGTGTACTTTGTCAATCGGCCTTTCCTGCTCCCCACTCTGTCTATGGTGAAGCCTCTCACCACCCCTGCATCTCTGGCCTATATCTCAATTCTGTATGCTTTAATAAATAAATCTTAAGAAGAAAAATCTTTTAACATTCCTCAGATATTTCAAACCGATTCTGAATCCTACCCATCCCACCTGGCTATGAGACAACAAGAGCCCTGGGTCTCAGGCCTGATTACTGCAATTCAGGGATGAAATTGACGTGAGTCACAATCCAAAATCAGTAACCCTAACATATAAAAATTGTGGAAAAAGGCATTTGGGGGGAGAGCGTAAGAGGATGCATGAAGCCATCCACAAATGTGTAAAGACCGACAGACAGGAAATTCAGACCTGCACTAAGTACATGAAACTGTAAAGACAGAACAGAACAACTCCAAGAATCTACTGCATGCATACAGATGGGGCTCATGGCTAAATCCCCCACCCTTACATTGGCTCCTGGAGCAGAGACAACACTTTCACTGATGGAAGAATCTGAAGCCGAGGAATTAGGTAGGTCACTTACCCAATTACAAATCTGGAAAATGGGTATTAAAACCCCAGCTCTTTAGCCTGAAAGTTAAGGACACAAACTAGCTATTTTTGAATCCAAAGTCTCAGACTTGACACCCAAGTGTCCTGAGCAAATGATAAAAATTCTCTGATCAATTTCATCATCATAAATTAACACAGCTGATAGTGGGCTATATTTATTGATGATATCTAAGATGCCTTTTTGCTTTTATATCCTAAATCTTAAGTAGGCAGCTGTTTCTAAAAGTTGCAGATAGACTCAAAAAAATAATGTTAAAAGGTCTCAAAAAGATTTTAATTCATTGGCAAAAGACTGACAAATTCATCACAAAGACTTTCCAAACAGACAAGAGTTGGTATCCATCTTGGATTAGAAGTATCAGCTGGCTACCCAAAACTCTGTATATAGTTTTAAAATCATGTTAGTGCTACAATTCTTTTAGAACAATATTCCAGCAATCTCCTCCCATCATAATGGGACTTTTAGATATTGTGGTGGGATGAAAATGGAAGCTGAATTACAGAAAGTGATCAGCAAATAAGAAGATAATAAACTTGTTTAAAAACTTAATTTAACAGGGTGTTAATATAAAGGTTTTTATTTGATGCTCATACAGATCCACTGGGAACTAAAAAAAAAAAAAAAAACACAAAAACCCACAAATCCTGTCCTTAAGTTAGCTCTTATTCAATTACAACATTTTTTATATCAATCAGAAATAATAATTAGTGCTCAAGAAGTGTAAGCTGTATTTCTAGGCACTGTTCTATATACTGACATTATTTCCCTATTTAACCACAATCCAATAAAACAGTATTTCTATCCCTAACTTACAAATTAGATAATTAAGGTACAGGGGAGGGTAAGTACTAACTTGCTCAAGGTCACATCACTAGAAGTTATGGTGTTCAAACACAGGAGAAAAGTAAAGAGAAGGAGAAGTAAAGTGTGAGGGAGGCTGAAAAATGAAAACTGTAAATAGCTCACATTGTCCTGACAGTTCAGATGTTGCAGTTTAACTTCTACTTAAAAGCTTACTTTTAATTTAAAAGATAATCTCTATCCTCTCCATTTCAGACTCATGCACTGCTAGGGCCTGACATTTTCATGCTTCTTATGATACCCATATTCTGTTCTGCACTGTATTTGTGTTCTCTCACATAAGGTATTGCCAGTTCCTTGAAATGGGGCTGTATTTTGTATCCCTAACTCCCTCAATTTTAGAAGTAGAGGATATGCAACAGAGGTAGGTTTCATAAATAAGCATTTCCCCTCTTCCATAGCTTGGGGGTGGGGGGCATAAGTGATATAGTTTTCAAGTCTTTACTGGGGAGGATGTTGTTTCTCATGAGTTACTAAGGTTTTCTATGTTCCAAACATGTTTGGATCATTAAAATTACTGATTTTGGTGGAAATACCCTTTCAGTGTAAAAATCAAATATAATTCCCCCAGATAAAACCTTTTAAATGGTTTCCTATTACCATTAGTCAAATGACACAAGCTATGCAACGTCTATCATCTGACAGATTCCGGGTAGATTGGGAAAAGCTCTGAAAAATCAGACTTTCCACCGCTAACTTATGTTATGACCTCCCTTTTTTGTATAATCATAATATCAAAATATTCTGAGCAACTTTCAGCTTACAATTGGACTGCCTCAGCCACACAAGGCCTACCTGCCCTGACAAGCAAGCACTGTACCAGGGTAAAAAATTCCCCTGAAGTCAAGTGACTTGACTACTGACTGATAAGTAAAAGCAAAAGGGCTGTTTTTGCAAAGTCTCTCTCACTGCTGGATGGAGGAAAACCCAAATCTTATCATTCTATTATTTCACCTAGGCTTCTATTCAGCTTCTAAAGAATTACTCAAACTTCCTATTGTTTGGCCTTTAGATGTGGAAATTCATCCAAGTTGCCTGTTTTTTAAACTAATCAAGTTTTCCACCTGATACACCTTAAAGGAATCCACAAAAGTCTTCTGGCTAGTTTTTCAGGATTCTACTATGTAGTATTTAGATAAAGAAATTCACCTATGTTTCCTATTCAGAGATTTGATTAGCAAGGAATTTCCTCTTCCGTCTCCCAGGATGACTCAGGCAGAAAAACAAAAACCCATTAAGTAGTAGATAAGGTTTAAGGGACTTCTATCTTAGTTGATCTCCACTATAGTAATATTAGTCATAGACTTTGTGCACTTATGTATCTGTTTTTTACCTTGATTGATTTTGGAATGTTATATCTCAGCTAAAGGGCAATACGACCCTAAACTGTTCCTAGAAAAAAAAGATGATTGTAATCTCTCAGTCCAGTTCCTGTGCTGATGTCATCCCACTGCTTGCTCCTAATGTATAAAATAAACCTCTGCTAAAGGCAGAACAGGAAGACTTGCACCCAACTCTGACTCCCGTGTCTTCCTCGCCCCCCTTTCTCCTTTTTCTCCTTCTCCCCTTTTTAGGAATCTCTGCTCGCAGATGCCTTCCCACCTTAGGGTTCTGCCTGTCTTGCCTCAGAGACACCTCAATAGTTGGAGCTGGTCTCCAACAGTCAAAGGTCATAGCTCCTTCTTCAATCTTATCACTAAATCCTCCCTTCCCCCCAACCGGGCTCCAAATCTCAAAGCACCTGGACTGCCCCAATGACAGAACATGCCAACACAGGTTCGCCGGGTGAACACTTCCTCCTAAGTGCAGTCAAGCTCAAATTCTTTTTTCTAAAGCCTTCCTGTGGTTGCAGCTTTTCCTATTTCTGCTGTCTCCCTTACTATAATGTAAATGTCCTAAAAAACAAGTTCTTCCCAGTGACACTCATTTTTATGCTTAGGTCTAGCAAGTTGCAGTTCAGTGTTAAAAGTTTATTTAAAGGATAAGTTATTAAAGCATAATTCTCTACATATGCTAGCAATACGTACGATTGACCCACTATGAAAAGTAAATACTTTTAGACTGACTCCACTACCAATTAGGAGTGAAGCACTCTATCTCAACACATACACTTGCAAAACCAAGATAATTTGTACCTTCATAACCAGCTAATGATGGTCATCATTACCGAGAACATAAAATCCACAAATTATAAAAATCCTTTGTTTCTTGAGCAAATAATCAAACCAACAGGATTTATTCACAAGTACTGTAAAAGAAGAAAACAGCACATTAAAAAGCTTTGGAATTGCCTCTATTTACACATGTAAAAAGAATTAAAAGAAAATTCTGGGACAGTGTCTTTTACACCTTTTTATCTGGGTTCATTCTACAATAGAAAACAAAGGTCTATTTATAAACGGAGACCTTTACAAAACCTGTCAAAATCAATTTTGTCAAAGGGCAGCTATGTCAGGTTTCATGGAGTACCCAAGAACAGAATCCAACTTTGTGTTGGCTTTGGGGCCTCTGGCCAATCATCCTAACAATTAACATTTTAGTTTTCTCATATCCCATCTCAGCCTCACCCAAACATTACACCGCCACAAGCATGTTTGGAAAATAATGCACTTTAACAGGTGGTGCCACAAGGTGCAACGTGTTATGAGAACTTCACATTTCACCCCAAAATAAGTCCCCACAGTTATCTTCAAGCTGCCTCAACCCATATGACTTAATCCTAGGGCTTTATTATCTCCATTGTACAGATGGGGAAAGAGAAGGGAAGCGAAGATATACAATGACTTGGCTAAAGAGGCCTAGCAAGTCACCAAAAGTCTTCACTTTAACTATCAATCCCTAGTCTTCTTTTCAAAGAACCATTGTATTTGAGAAAATTTCAATGCCAGCAAGCAGACCACTGTATGCTGTCAAATTAATTAGTACATTTTACTTCTTTGTTTCAATGGACTACCTGAATTCCCTATACCTGTAGGTTATGATAGCTCTGGGATATAAGTTACGGTAGTTCTGGATTAAGTTTTGCTATATGAATTCAAGTTCATAAATCTACCTCTAGCTTCTAAAAATCAAGACAGTTGACCTAAACTTCATAGTCATTTTTTTCCCTCTCCAGGTCACTATTTCTTTTCAAATGTTATCTCCTAAATATGTTAAGTCATACCCAACCATTCCAGTTCAGGATCAAGAGTGGCAGAATTTTCTTCTATCTGAATTGTAAATCAAACCCTCCTGCAGCATAAGGGTTCCAAGGTATCCCTAACTCAGACCTAGATTCTAATCTTTATTGTTACCGGAGTCCAGCAATTTCAAAGTCCAGGAAGGCCCCTCACATCTCATCCACCCTCCAAGGAAGCCTCTAAAACCTCAGGTCGTATGGGGTTTTAAAAAAGGGAAATCTCAATTCTCTCAGATCCAACAAACCTTGCAACATCAGCGCTGCAGCCATGCAATTTGGCGATAACGGCTATGGATGGACCTTACAATGGAGTAATAATCCAAAGAGTCCACTCTTTCACTGCTGAGAGCAAACCATGCAGTGATTCCGTTTCCTGGGCCCAAATGACTTGCATAACTGGAGGAGCAACACAGGCTCCCTCCCAAGAGGGTCGGGAGCTCACAATAAGGTTTGCTGTAGTTTACTATAAAATTCTACACCAAAATATCCTCAGACATGCCTGCCCCTTTAAATGATGTAAGTTCTTCCCCTAGACTTTTAACTAGCCCATCATCGGGGGTTCTCTCCCCCTGCAAGGATCGCGGGTAACCCAGTAACTCATTCTAATGCCTGCCTCTGGTGGCACGCGCTACCAAATCCCAAAGCCCTCCTGTCCCGCAGTCTCTGCAAGGGGGCACCGCACCCCCCAAATTTGCCATCCTCCTCCCCCACATCCCCCAGTCGCTCGTCATTCCACGCCAGACGTCACCCTCTCTCCATCCCGGAGTGGGTTTTGGGATCCCTCGGTTGGAGCCTTCGCCGAGGTGCAGCGCAGAGACCCATAGAGCGAGAAGTCCCCCAGCGGGCATCTACCTCCCACCTTCTCCTCCAGGGAGTCGGGGTCAACGCTCGCCGGCCTCCTCCAACGGCCGCAACCGCCGCGTCGAGCCCTTCGCACAGAAGCGGGGCGCCGAGCCAGGTGCCGGCGCTCACC